CACGTCTTCAATAGTTTTTATCGCATTTTTTATTACATTGTTTTTATAAAATTTATACAATTTTGTTACGAGATCCATTGTTTTTGTTTTTGAATTGATATAAATGGTTTGATATTCCTCTTTTTCTTGACCATCATCACTGACTATGGTTTTTGAAAAGAGCACTTTGAAACTGGTATGAACTTTAATCATACGACGGTTTGACAACATATATTCACTTATTTGTAACTTAAAATAATGAAATGCGTCCTTTAAAAAAGCTTTAACATCAATGTGTTCTACATTGACTATTGCAAATGTTTTGATTCTGTTTTCAAAGGCTGATTCACGATATTCGAACAATATTTTATCTGTCATTTTTTTGTTCTTTGCAGTTCAATGTCAATGGAAAAACTGAAATGAATTAAAATTTCTTATTCAAGTGACAACAACAATTTATATACATACATATATATGTTATATTGAGTTCCCAAGTAACCAATATACCAGTTGATATACGTTACAAAAAATGTAAATTTAGTTACCTAGGAATAAAGTCTCCCACTCTTAGAAATAAATTATATGCCCGCATACAAAAAACGTTAAAAAGTGAAGTGTCCCAAAAAAATGTCTTTGTTTAACTAAGTGATCATTTTTTCACTTGGGAGGTATGCGGTTTTGACCACACCCAATGCTTTTTACAGTGACTCTTTACGTACGTATATATAGATCGAACGAATTCAATCAGCATTACAGTGTCAGTTTTGATTTCAAAGAGAATTCACTTCAGTGCAAAAAACATGGAAGCATTAATAAAACAATGTAAAGACAATGGTGATCCGTCACAAAAAAACTTTGATCAACTGTCTGTCGGAAGACATACAGTTAAAAAATTTTCGTATGTTCAAACTGATTATGGTAAAAAAGTGCGCGTCGATTTAGGTAAATGTCACATGTTTTTGCCCGATCGTTTTTCCCTAAATCCGTCGCAAATTAAGGATTTAAATCGTTTGCCGAAAGTCGTTATGATCTATGGCGGAAAAGATAAGGATCGTGGAGGTCGACTCATACTCAACTTTGAGGAGGATAAAAAAGAAATGGTAAGAATTTTCTTCAAGTTTGTCAATTTACTTGGTTTTACACCGAAAAAAATATGAACGAGTTGCACAATACTGATAACAAAAAATTACAAAATGTTTCAATTTCTTTATTTTTTCAGGTATCAAAAAAAAGAAAGACTCCAGCTGCATCCAATGATGAATTTAAAAAAAAGACAAAAAAGAATGCGCCATCAAAAACGGAAAAAAAGAAGAAGAATCATGCATCTAATAAAGAAGTCGACGAAAATAAGAAGAAGAAGAAGGTGCAAGTTCGCTCCGAAGAAGAACAATCCGAACTCGAGTCAAGTGAAGACGATTCTAGTGACGAAAGAGACTCTTCAAGCGCTGAAGAATAAATAAATCAAATACCATTTTTAATCACACAATTAATTATCCTTTTTTAATCAAAAATAACATAATCAATGATTCAATTTTTTTACTCCAATAAAATGAAATAAAAAAATTTTGCATTTGCAAAAAACAAGTGTCTGTGTGTTTTTTATGTGCGTATTCCCATCGCTCTCTCTTTCATTTGTATTTTACTTATGAATCATACATGTCATACATGTAGCCACAGTCATAAATTTGTCAGCAGACATTCAGCCAGCTGTTAACTCCGTTCGTTCAATGATTTTATATTTTCAGCGAGCTTGATGAATACACCTGTTGGTAACCATAGATCAGTGCAACGATTATTGTCGCATGAGACGGTTTGCAAAAGGTAAATAAAAAATGTATTGTTCCAACTTGTATGTCCTGTTTGTATTATTACAAATATCACATAATTTGTGTGCGTCGACGTCTGTGAACAAGAATGATATATTAAAATTGACTGAGATCGAATCAACCACAAATACATTCGATTTTTCCAAAATAAAATGTAATATATCACACCTTGGTGATTTTCTCTTAAATTGTAGCCACATTGGTTTTTTTATGAATTCAAGGAATGACGCAAATAAAAAAGGTAAATATGAATAAAAAAAGAAAACCAAAATACATAAAATCATTTTTTATTAGGAATTGGTATAGACTTATGGGATTCAATATGTGCAGATCGTGAATTTTGTCTTGTGTGTGATGTCAAAGAATGTGACCTCGTAGTTGACAGCGGCAATGATATAGCACAGAATATTTCGAGCAAAATAACATCGCATCGTTCAAATAACATCATTGTATTGTGGAGTGTTTTATTTTGGTTTTTATTAATTTCATGTCTAACTTTTGCTATCATAATCAGCATACTCGTTTATTTATATAAAGTTAAGTCAATAATGTATTCAGTTTAACAAATAAAATGAGTTCATTTCTTTGAATCATAACAGTATGATCGATCAATTTTATTTCATGAGGTTTCAATCAATTTTATTACATGATCAATCCTAGTTTTCACTATATGCTTGGTCTGATTCACAACCGGATTTTTCATCTGACTCACTACTGGAATTTTCGTCATCTTCATTTTCACTGCACTCCATACAATCTCTGGTGATTGCATCGTAAAATTCCGGAGGGAGTAAACGAGTGTCAATGACTCGATGAACGAACACCGCTTCAAATGCTTCATCGATCGGAAGCGATAGCACATACGCCAATATTCGCTGAATTTCTAAAAATAAAATAAATTTAAACGTAAATAAATATTATTTATAGAAAAAATATTCAAATTTTACCGATTTCATTCATCGGTGGATCCAGTGGCATTGGATGGCATCCATTCATGGTTATTCAAAATATATTTTTTCAACTGATTCAAATGAAAGATCGAGAGAGAATGTAAGTCTTTATGTAGATTCACTCACATATATTCATTGAAAGGTGTGACTATGTCATAACAATTTTATTACCTTTGAAGTATACACTCATAAAAGTATGTCCTTTTTTTTTAAAGTGAACAGTCTGAGCAAACATGTCAAACAGTTCGGCATACAGCGATAGCACGTCAACCAGTTCGGAACATTCTAAATTGACATGCAGCGATAGCACGTCAACCAGTTCGGAATATTTGTATTACAGTACAAGCAGTTCGGAATATTTGGGTTCCAGCGACGGGGAATATAGTCCTTTGCACACGGTAAGTTAGTAAGTAATGGTAAAAAATTATTTGAAATAAAAAAATTGATTCTTTTTTTCAGCGTAATGAGTTTGTATCTAAATGGATAAGTGAATTAAGTGAATTTGAAAGTGATGATACAAATGACAAACGAACGTCAATCGAATCGTCGAACTACGAATCATCATTTATTGACGATGACACAGCGGATTTAAGCAGTGGCGAATACACTTCAAGCGAAGATAAATGCAGCTGTGAACCAGTGCGAAAAAGAAAGCGAGTATTTTCTTCTTCATCCAGTGATGTGGTAAGTTATCATTCATTGCTTTTTTTATTTAACAAATAAAATTACACTTACTGTACTTATTTTTTATACTGAACATTTATTTTTCTTCATTTCATTTCAGCAAACCGTATTCGCAAAGAACGGTATAATTGATTCAGATGAAGAGTAGACATTGCGGTTTAAGACATTGCGGTTTAAATAGTAATCATTGATCTGTGAAAAAAATGACATCACTTGAAGTAGAGAAAATTATGTGTAAATCATGTAAAGGTACCGATCATAAACGACACACAAACAAATTGTGTCCAAATTCACATTGGGGGAAGATGAGAACAGCAAAACGAATTGAAGATTTAGTTCAATTGAAGGAAAGCTTGAAAAAATTTGAGGATTTCATTCTACAGGAAAATATTACGATTGATAAATTAGCGCCAGCATTTTGTTCCAATTGGATGGAAATCGAACGCTATCAAGGAAATATAGATGAATGGAAATTGGATTGGAAGTTGCAAAGAATTTTATTTGATTTACATTTCAATATCGCATCTAATGCGTTCTGTACCTCTTCACCTGAAAAGAATGATATTTTAAATAATGTATCAGAGAGGACAAAAATAATTTACGGTATCGTTGGATCAAATGCTGGAGAAATGTGGTACAACAGATCGTACAATACAGCCCACTACGGGACAACAATATTGATGAAATTCTGGGGTGTAATTGTTGAAGCAAAAAATGTATCTTATTCCGACGATTGATGTTTTCTTTGATGAACTCAACATTATATTTCCAACACTCGATGTTTTTATTTAAAAAAACACACCTGTTTTACTTTTTGCTGTACAACATATTCATAAAAAAGTTATAAATCTGCGGTTTTTTGGAACTGGAGAACAGAATTGTACACAGCACTGTATAAATGATTCGTCTTGTGTTTATTGATCAGTCAGTTAATAAGTAACTTTCAAGGAAAAATGATTGATCCAATGAACTACGATGTCCAATTTTCGGACGAGCATCACGATAGTTGCAGTCGATTAAAATTTTATGGATTTAAGGATTGTGAATTAATCCTGTGCTCACCAGTTGGCAGTGAAAGTGACTATCAAGTGTGTAGCATTACAACAAAAAGACTAAAACTTCGTGAATATTTACATGAACTTATGTCGGATTATATGAAATATTTCGCGTATAATGTATACGATGAATATAAAAAAATCATGGAGTGTCTAGGACCAGATGTCGAATTTCAAAGAAGACAAGATTTCGCATATCTCTATCGATCAATTGCTCATACAATTGGTTTCGAACATGAGTATTATAATCGAATGGAACCATTTACAACAGTTACATGCAGAGGACTTAATTCAGCCTATAGTGCAACAATTTTTCCTATTTTGAACTGTGAAACATTTAATATTGAACAAAAATTGTCTATCTTTATAACAGGAAGAGTGCACTTTGCTCCATTTACTTTGAAACAACTGGCGTGCAAAGCGATGCTAAAAAATTCACAAGTGTTCAACATACCCCTCAATGCTTTAGAAGTGGTGTTTAGTATTACGTATTATGATAATATAAAGTTACGAATAGGACCTAACAAACGCAGAACAGACATTACATTTTCAACTTTTCTGTTTGAATTGATCAAGAGAAAACGATCCGCTTACGAATACAAACACTTTGCAATCGACGAAGTGTTAAAATATAATATTAATATGTATTGTGAGTGCATGAAAGGAGCAAAAAGGAAATGTGTTTGTCGATTGTGTGTATTATTGAATAACGAAAGACTGATGAAAGAGACATATTTTGAATTAAACGGTCATTTCGACTTTTGTAAGAATTTTAAAATATAAAAATGAACATTTGTAGCAAAACCACACAAATGAAATGTACAATTTATATGAAAAACCGCATCATAAAAATAGATATATTGCTAACAGCTGAAGTTAGCTATAATGATGTATTCAATTCAACGCGTACAATTTATATGAAAAACCGCATCATAAAAATAGATATTTTGCTAACAGCTGAAGTTAGCTATAATGATGTATTCAATTCAACGCGTACCATTTTTTACGAATCGTTCTATTATAGTATTTGTTTGATATTTGATAAAAAGTGCGAACGTATGCAAAATTATATTATATATATATACTACCCATTTTTTTCCATACTTTCATTACTGTTTTGGTAGTCAAGGTGGTAGAGTGATTTACCTGAAATCAAAAGATCGTTGGTTCGATTCTCTGTGTAATCGATATCTTTTTTTTCTTTTTCGGATTGAAAGTACATTAAACGAATTTATTAAGTATGCCTTAGAATTAAATAAAAGTTGTGTAGTTTATAATCTTTTATTTAAAGAAACCTAAACAATAAATGGAATAATGAAAACACTCAAGATTATTATTAATTTCAATTAAAAAAACAAAACTTTGATTAAATCTCATAAAATCAATTCTTTTATTTCATTTGAATTTACATGATTATGTTGTTAGAGCGTAATTCATTAATGATTGAGTTGATTTCTTGATCATGATTAGAATTTCCGGCCAATTTTGAGGATATCAACAATTGCAGTCTTTCACAAAGTTTATTGTAATCGTCATAATATTCGTACACAATGTGGTTTGTATAAGGGATGAACTTTTTTTCCAAACTTTCTACTTGCATCTTGTCGTTATAGCTCTTTTTCAACCTTTTTTCATCATCCATGACGATTGCAGTGGCGGCAGCGACAGCTGCAGCCGACTCAACAGTATCAATACCTTCAAAGCATTCTTTTTCAGGTTGTTTTCTGTTCTCAAGTAATGGTTTGTATATGGTTTCAACATCGTCACCAAATTCTTCCTGTCGATATGCTTCATAATTTTCATCGTTTTCGTTTTGTAAACAACGAAACTTTTTTTTGATAGCGTCACGCGTTTGGACGAACGATTTATTAAGTTTTTGACAAAAATTTAGATCGCACATTATTATTACTTTGTTTCTTATTCACGTATGTGTTCACACTAAAGGCTACTCGAATACTGATACATGCACGCATACAACATTTTGATATATGATGAAATCATTGACTTAAATAATTTGAAAATCCCTTGCGATAGCGGCCATTATTCACTTCACTATCCAAATCAATTACAACAAATCCATACTTCTCTTTCCAGCACTCTAAACACAAATTTCGAAACTCATCAAATTTCATATCACATGCCACGCCCATATCGTTATAAACATGCTTCAAATTTGTATCATCCTGTTTAAATAATATGACGAAATTAACGTTATCTCGAATCAGGTGTTTTTTGACTTTTGTGTACGTTTGTGTTAAATAAAAACTGTCAATATTATTATGTCTACCAAGACAATAGAAGTTTTTTATATTTTCCTGATTTTTCTCACATATTACGTCGTCAAAAATAATGATAGAATTTTTTTTTGCCTGCATTGGTTCAATGACCTTATCCGACGTGGAAAATGTATAAAAACCAATCTCATCGATGGGATCCAATAAATCTTTCAAATATTTGTATTTGTCTTGCTTTAAACTTTTTGAATAAATGTAAATATTCTCAAATTTCAAACCATGTTCAGATTCAATTAAACTGATGATCAAATTCGTTTTTCCACTGTTTGATGGTCCTGCAATTATACAGCGAATTGAATTTGGTAATAAATTGCTATGTCGTCGCAATGTTGTCTTTGATGGTGCAATTAACTCATCGACATTTAACACCGGAATGTGAATAGATTGCTCAACGAAATGCATCTTGCAACGTTAATGTACTGATGATTACTAACACTTGAAATCGGTATAAATATGAATATATGTGTAATTTCTATTTAGTTGACTTCGATCTTTAGTTGAGTAAAGACTGATTTTTTTTCAATCGCATCAACATGAAGCAAAAAAGTAGTGGAAAGAAAAAGAGCAACAAAGTTGTTAAGAAAAATGTTAACAAGAAATCGAAAATTAAATCGTTTGCTAAGAAAAAGAGAGTAACACCAGTAAAAAAAGTTTTAAATAAAAAATTAAAACAATTCATTACATTAAAGTCTTTAATTACGAAAGCAAAGCAAGCTTTGAAAAAATCTAAGCCCAATAGTATTGAGACAGCTATAAATATTGCGAATATTGCGGTTAAAAAGGCTAAAAGAGGAAAAAACATAAAAAAATCACGTATTATACCATTACCGTTTTCGGGTGGAGACTTGGATCTAATTCCAACTTTTGTTGGTTTAAATGTAAACGGCTCACTACTTAACGGGAAAGAGGGTGGAGCTATGGATATCATGAGCGCGATAAATGAATGCAGAGACATGCAAAAACATGAAAAAAGTAATGGACGAGAAGGAGACGAAGAGGAAAACATGTCAACTCCGAAAGCAGTTAAATTGAGACCCAGCTTGTATTTGTATCCGTATAAAAATGGATATGGACTCTATTGTCAACACAAAAAACCTACACAAAGAAAAAACTTATAAGTTTGCTGCCTGAACGAGCATTAACAAACTACGACATAAGTAAATTCGTGGAAAAATTACATATACCATATTTTCGAGGCGTTTACATGCGTGACACTCTACCAATACATGAACCATGGAAACTTGAATGTATGGTTATCAATCATGATTCAATACAAAACAATGGAACACATTGGTCATGTTATGTTAAGGAAAATGTGAATGTATTTTATTTCGATTCGTTTGGTAAGCTACCACCACCAATAGAATTGATTCTGTATTTAGGTAGCAAATGCAACATTTATTATAATTACGAAAGATATCAGCTATTTAATACTAACATTTGTGGACATTTGTGTTTAAGATTTTTATGTGCGTTTTATAGAAAAATAAATGAAATAAGAAATGTATGACAGAATATTATCATATGAAATGCTCAAGATCATATTTTGAACATACAATGCCATCTGAGAATCAAAATAGTAACATTGCATCAATTGTAGTGCTTACGCAGCTTAAAAAACTTACACCAATTCGCCGACGGCGAGTTCACTAATAATACTACTATTGTGTTTGACACAACTCATATGTCAAAATGGGTAGAATATAATTGTTTACGTAAAACACATAGTCAGACAATTTTAATTGTTTTTCTTTATTATTATTTTTTATTCAAACAATGTATAGTGATTATTGTCCTAA